TTCAAATGAAGGGGGGGGGGGGGGTGAGATGTAGGCGCATGGTACTATTAGCGCCAACCTGTGAAACCTCGAGTAAAAAACAGCACGGGAAGAAAACAAGCGCCCAATGCCCGTGGACAAAAACTGCTTACGACTTGTGCCAATAACTGCTAACATAGCGAAATCACACCACAGCATCGTTCAGAGTAGACCCTTAGGCCGACCTCACTGGCGGACGATGGCGCGACCTACAACTGACTCTGGACTCACTTGCCACTCGCCGCTTCGAAGTATCTCGCCAACTCCGCCAGAGCCTCCGAAACATCAACCAGTTGGCTATCCCACCACAAGCCCCACATCTCTGGCTCAACCATGACCCCTTCGACTCTCGCAGCCACGATCGCCAAAAACCGACGGAGATCGACGACAAGCCTTCTTTCCGTACCAGCCAGGTCCGCTAGGGACTGCATGCCCTGGCGGCCGCCTGAGTCGGATGCTTGCCCTACGCTCTCCAAGAAGCCATCAGTGTCGCCGCATCGCTCCTTGAATTGCAAAACGTTGGCCTGCTCCACGCCTCCCTCGAGAACATCCATAACGACAGATCTCAGATCTCGAAGTGCCACCTCCGCCCGTCCTGGAAGGCCACCACTTCCTGTGGCGGGTAGCCGTTCCTCCATCCTCGCTACCGGAGGCATGGGTACCGAAAGCCGTAGGCCAAATGAGAGCGTTTGGGAGCACTTGACCATACGCATGCAAGCGTGCACCCCACGGAAGAAGGGGCTGAGGGACCGCTCGAGGGCTACGAGGTGCGCCTCGAGCACCTTAGCTTCTGTATGGCCATCATCCCGGGCAAGGTAGTGTGCCACTCCGACCGATCCAATCGCTACCTCACCCAGAAGGAGGAGCCAGCTGGGCGATGACCGCCGCCAGCTACACCAAGAGACTTGAGGCACCGGGCACGACGTGGAAAAAGGACCGTGAAACGATAGGGAACCGTTTGCGATTAGAATTGTTGTCGTCATTTCGCGAGGCGGCTCCGTGGATCCTCTAGCTCATGGGCTACATTTTTGCGATAAACTGCGGTTAAGCAAATCGAACTTACGACGCCCACCCGATTCTGACATGAAACAAGGTGCGCGCATCCGCCTCCTTCACCGGCCGCGTATAAGCAAGAGCACACGGCGTTTGCAGTATTGCCACGTGTCCCCACTATTGTCATTGAGATGTATCGAACTAGCTTCGCAAAAGCAAAACGACGTTCACGGCAAGCAATCACGATTCTCGGTCGCATGCGACCTCTCCGAATTATGTTGTGACTGCTCTGGACAACTCTCCTGTAGCAGGTTACCTCTACACCTGCTTTTCTCTTTACCTGCTGCAGCAACCATAATGATGACGGCTGCCACGCCGGCGCCACCTACTGCTGCGCAAACCGAGCTGATGCCCTCTGTAAGAGCTGATCTCCGATCACCACAATCACACCGACGACTTCGCCAACGAGAGGACCAGCCTCCTTCACCCCCGGGCAGCTCCAAGTCGATACGGTCCAGCGATCGGAGAAGCGCACGGCAACCACAGCAATACCCGGCTCGACGAGCAGCGCGTGGCGTAAAAGGGGTCAGGAAACGAACCAGGACCGCTCCGTAGTCGTGCATGAATCGCGTGACGATCGGTTGTTGCTCATGCCACCATCTGCCGAGGACCTGACGAAGGGCGGACAGAACGAACGGAGAGAGCCGGCGTAAATGTTGCTTTCGCAGGCGGACTTGATCTTGGAATATCAGATTTGCTCAAGACGAAGGTGAACAGGTTTCCAGCCCTTGGACAACAACCACGGGCGACCGAACCTACTGAATGTAGTAAACAGTAAAAATAAAGCCGTCACAGCAGTGTCGTTGGGTCATGAGAAAACCCGAAACAAACACTGGGGCTTCAACCACAACGCCCAAGCACGAGGTCAGGCGTGGTTGGCGTGCATTGGGAAAAGGTCGTATGGGCAGTACACTATTATCTATAGTAGTTTAGTTCGTCATGTAGTCTAGACTACTCGAAAAGAAAATAAGCTTGCAGACACGATTCGAATTTCTTGCCGCAGGCATGCAAAGATGAATACATCCCCTTCGACTGCTGTGGTTATATGCATATCTCGAACGGGTCGTCTGTCTGTAGTTGGTATTTATTTTCCTATGATGTACAATACCGCCGTGTCGCGCAAGTGAGAGAGAAAGGCGCAAAACACACATGTTTAACCACGCCTCTGTATGCAATAAATGCTACAAGGCCATACGAGGGCCTCCACGTTGAGCCAGCCACAGCCTCGACAGTTTACTAACAAGTCACAGCACGGTTAAGAAACTTGGAAACTGTCTCCAAGTTGGAGCCACGTACAGTGTCGGGAAGGGGGCGTGAGGTGTCGGCGAAGACGGTGCTCCAGAATGACGTCTCTGCAAGGCCACCAACAGCAGCAGCGGACTGATGGCTTGATGTTTCTTCTCGTTGACCGGCGCTACTGCTGTCATCACTGTCATTTCCATTCTCGTTGCTGGTTCCAAAGCGCTGTAGATGATCATCCATGGCTGTGTTCGCTGAGCCTGACATGAGTGGAATTCTCCTCGCCTGGTCTCGTCAATGAGTATGTCACTGCCGCTCATGGGCACCCAGAGCGGAGAGACCCGGTCGGCGTTGCATCGGGCGCTACCGTGCGCCATACCTTCCAATGATCACCGACACATCTGCGATCCCCCCAAGATTGTCCCTGCTGGTTGACATCACATCACTGATCAGACTGCTAGTGGTAACAAGCGCGGGTGAGAGCGTGAGTGCTTGTAGGTGGGTGCTACAGGAGAGCGAAAGAAAGACCACATATATTGTCCTGTTGCGGCATTTGGTGCACTGCTGTTTGAGGGGGCGGCAGGCCGGAGTGGCGGTGTTCCGCGCGCTGTTGTCTCCTCATCTCCTGTTTCAAAGAAACAGAGCAAAGAGAACGAGGCTTCCAGGGCTGCGTTCAAGATGGCAAGCAAACGCCATCAAAGCGGAAGCAATAACGGGGAGGGAAAGCGACCTAAGGGCAACGGTGACCAAAATGACTCCCAGTCCCCACCACATATGGATGAAGACCTCATGCGCTCTCTTCAGGTGAGCCAAGTCTAGAGAATACAAGGGCAAGACCGCGCGCCAGAACGATTTTCAAAATTTTGAACATGTTGTGGGTCTTGCGTCTCCGGAGGCCCCCGTCCAATGCTCCATTGTCACGACGCTGGACGCTGCCTTGGTGTTTGCGATATGAAAAATGTACCCATTGCTACTCCTAAGGTGAGGTTTTTCCATCTGCCTTTGATTCGCTACCCTTGATATCCTCGCCCAGTGTGCCATGTGCGTCTGCAACCCGTTGAAATTTGAATTTTGAAATTGTTGAGAGGGAAAACCCTCCTTCCCCCTCTGGCTGCTCCTCGGCCGGGGCCGAAGTCGACCAAGTGAGTCCCTCGCGGGCGAACCAGGCCACAATAGATAGTAGGCGGGTGGTGTCCCAAGGTGAAACTCACCGCCGCGCTGGCTCAGCGTGGCGGTGAGGATGCACAGACGGTGGTAGTGGCGAGAGGTGTGTATGGACACTGTGTTCCCGCGGCATTAATGCAAAGCGGCAAACTGCACCTGACAACCACTGTGGCGGAAAGCGTTGCCCACGAAGCTGGAGGAGTAGAGAGATTCGTAAACACCACGTCAGTAAGCACCGCTCGCGGGAGAAGGGAGACAACCGCGGGCACCGCGGGGAGGGAGTGCTGCACCCTCCTCGTCAAAACACCACAGGCAAGAACCGAGCTCTGCAGAGATGGATTGATGCGAGGAAACTCGCCGCTCGGAAAATACGGAAGAAAGCACACCCGCAACGCGAGGCGGACCGAGAGAGACACGAGACCGCAGCGGCCGTCAACGCGGCTGCGAAGAAGAAGGCAAGAGAGGGCGACCTATCGTTCGGCACGTTCAACGTACGCACGCTCGCCTACAGCGGTAGGAACCCCATCGATCACAACGTGATGACCGGTCATGCGATTTGTTCCGCGACCGGCTGTGATGTGATAGGACTTCAGGAGACCCGACGAG